AGGGATACTTGGAGCGAGCCAAAGAAGGAGGAGTACCATGGCTGACATTCAGTCTGTCTGAGTCTATCTGTGATCCCGGAAGACGCTGTCCAGAGAAGATGATGGTTTTTCATGTGCACTGTGGTCCCTGCATTCCAGGGGTAATGTAGGATTAGCAGAGTTTAAACCCCCCCCCCCCCCCCCGCACTCCCTACACCCCTCACCTCCACCCTCCCTGACTGCAGCAGCTTAGTAGCTCAGCCAGCAGCAGATGCAGGCTCCAGGATTTCCTGTCTCTGCACCAGATGGGTCTGAGTCTTAATCACAGAGCTGGAAATCGGGAGGTGATCGAGGAGGAATTGATGATAACCCAATACAGGCATCTGTTCCGCCACTGACACATCGACGGACCCGACCGGCTTGTTGACTGGAGTCGCGGCCAGCGCTCATCTCCTTCCCTCATCATCTCATCAGCGCTGATCAGCACTAATCATCCTCCTCCCTCGCTCCATGAGTTATACAAGAAGTCTTTCACACAGACTGTGCTGTGTCATCGAGGAGCAAAAAAAAAAACGTTCTCCATGAAATTTTCGGAAATAGAAATGGGCATCAGAGTGTAATAATACTAGATCAACACAGGCGAGACGGGATAAAAAGTCCAGAATTCAGAATTCTCCAGGTTGCGTATCATAAAGTCATAACAGATTTTCTCTGAGCACTTTCTTATAACCAGATGTGAGGTGTGTAGGCAAATATATGTATACTGTTTTTTTCTTATATATTTTTCTTATTTATACCTCTAAACTTTGTTTTTAGCATAATTATTATCTTTCAAAAGTACTGTTGGAGCTGACTGAAATCAGTCATAATCGCCTTGTATACTTCCCTCCGGCCTTTCTCATACTGGAACTTGAAGAATTTTTAGGTACCTATACTTCACACTACATAACATCTCATAGGTAGATAATACGCAAATACCCCAAAATACTTTACCAAAACAAAAATTTAATTACACAAGCATAATGAGTATCTTTGCTCTTTAATAAACTGCATTTTGATGTTTATACGTTTAACACTGTTTTACCTGCAGCAGAGTACTTTATATTGCGGTGTTAGTAATTTAACTTTAACTGCAAACGGTGCAACCGACAAAAATGCAAAGGAGGTAAATCAACATGATATCACTATATTCTCTTTATATGTGATATGTATAAAGTGCTATATATCACTATATTATGAAGGATATTTTTAAATATTCATACATAGCGTAAAGAGTATGATTGCAAATGTGTTCAAAACCACATCTCAAATAATCAATTTCATCCGTTTGAACCATTCCTTGAGGCCAAACTCATTAATTGCGATTTTTTTTTATTTTTTACAAGAAATGTTTCATGTATAAATGTCTTTTACAAGAGATTTTTTAATTAAAACTAGCCTGCAATCATTGACGCAAAAATATATTTATGAGGGAACATCAAGATCCAACGACTGCAAAATGTTTCTGCTGGAAGTCGATAAACAATAATATTGATCTATGGCCCTGCCCTCTCTCTGACACGCAGACACCACAACGGGCCCCAATCTGTCTTTGTGCACGTAAGAGGGAACCCGGTGACGGGGCAAACTCACAAGCGTGGATTTCCCACCCCGGGGAAAAGGCTGGAGGTTACAGACCAATCCACACGGCATCCACCGAAACAAGGCGCCGACAAAGAGAAAAGGCTGCACTTCACAGCCCGTGAAAGCTCGGCCCTCAAACAAAGGAGGCGGCAGGTCTTTAGCACACATCACCCATGACAGAACCCCAGCTGACACTCTTTTAACATGGGGTCACCTCTGGCAGAATGGAGGCCACCACCCCTGGGAGCTCCCTGACAGACCCTTTGCCTTGACACGCTGTCTGTGCTTTGACCAAAATGCTCCGTCCAGCAGTCGCTGCACACACGGGGCGGTGGGCTCCGTGGGCAGGGGGGGGGCTGGTCAACGGGGCTTTGAGGGGGGGATGGGGTGGGGGGTGGTGGGGGTTAGACTACTGCTCTCAAATACAATGATGTTTCCGAGAGGCGGATAAATAGGAGAGGGCCCGTTACAGACAAGCTGCAAAGTCGTAAAAATACGTCTTTGCAGCTCCGGGAAGTGAGATTTGCCATTATTTCAAATCAAATGCACATAGCTCGGTGTGTTTCCGGGGGGTTGCGTGGGCGGATTGGGTCTTAGCTGCCTGGGTCAACGCTGGGCAGACAGGCCCATCGAGGACCAAAGAGACGCACATTGTCGGCTTTCAGGGATTCCCAGAGGTCAGCAGACAGATGGGAATGGAAATGAGCGGGCAGCGAGCTCATTTTAATCTGGCCCGCACAGCTGATCCAGTCATTACACTTGACTGTTTACATGCAAACACAACAGAGAATACTCGCAATACTCACACACACACACGCAGATAAACACACAGTGACCTGATGGAGACGAGATGTATTTTTCATTCACTTTCAATAACAGCTAATAACTGAAAAAACACCAACCTTTCCACTTCAACACACACTTCATTAGTTTTTTGCTCCAGGTTTGAGGCTAATTTCATCGAGTGAAGAGAACAATGGGATAAAAAATGGCATAAATTGGCGTCAGTTGAATGGCTTTAATATCCATTCCATTAAGAAGGGTCTGCACAGTCCTCCAGGGTCCCCCCTTACCCTCCACTCAGTCAGATGATTGATCACATTGCCCTCACTTCTTGGGGATGTTTTTCTTTTTCTCTTTCTCTTTACAGTTAATTCTTGGTATTTGACTTTAAAGGGAAAAAAAGTTTTAGCAATTCCAATTCCTCTTTCTTTAATATTTTCATGCTAATAAGAAAAGTTAACACTCAAATTCACGCTCACGGTTCAACACAATAGAAAAAGCAATTTGAATTGGACATGGTTTCCATGGAGGTGACATTTTTTTATCGGTGTGTCAGCAAAACAATCATACGGGATTTGAGATAGAGAACACTGTTAGCATTGCAGAATTGCAATGTTTTATTGGAATCAAGCAGCGGTTGAGATCCACAGCGTTGTCCTTTATCAGACTGCCATCTGGCCAGTGGACTGGACACAAGGACGCGTGATTGGATGGTGTGAAAAGAATGGGGGAAGGCTCGGTCAGTGTCTTTGGGGAAAGGTCAGGGGTTACGGCCCTTTGACAACACATGTCAAGGCCTGGCTCTCTCACACACACACACACACACACACACACACACACACACACACACACACACACACACACACACACACACACATACACACACACACACACCATGCATCTACTGAATGAGTCTGCAGCCTCCTCTCGGCAATCTGGCCTCATCTGCACATTAAGCAAAGAGCCAAATGACCAAATGCTGGATTTGATGCATAACAGACACAATGGTTTACTGGGCTCATTCCCTCCTCCGATCCGGCTTCGGCTTTTGTGAGGAGGCTGCTTATGTTTTAAATTTCTGCATTAACAGCCTATTAAAAAAATATGGAATAATTATGAGTCATACTGAAGTCTCTCTAGCAACTTGCCCTATAGATAAATTTCACAGAAGAAGAAAGAAAAAAAATGCTACATCAGCAATAACTGTCTCCGCAGTTCCCTCCAGCTGTGCGGCATCTGCAGCAGGCACCACATACAGTACATGGGGTGGTCGTCTAGACGGACGGTGCGGGCAGGGGAGCTAACTTTCGAGGCTCTCCCTTATTAATAAAGCACTCTGACATCAGAGGGAGGCTGAGGCCGGCCGATAACATTGAGTTTTTTGTTTTATAGGTAAGCCAAGTCCGCGTGCCCCCCTCCGTCCGGCCTTTCGGCAGCTTGGCCTGTCAGTCTGATGTATGGGCGAGCGCTGGTGTGCAGCTCCCCGAGGACCAGGCCTGTCCGCTAACTGGGACACGACTGACAGTGATTCACAGCAAACGTGCACTGCCCCCTCTGCCACGCTCCCTCCGTGCTGCTCGGCCCCCAATTATTTCACACGCACACACTAAAAGACGGTCAGTGCGGCACTGCGCAGGACTCGGCGCGCTGATTAAATATAACTCACAGGTGATACGTCAACTCCTGCTGAATGCAGTTAGGGGGAAATTAGCCACAGGTGCTGACCTGGGACCTGTGATAACTTTTGTTTGTACTGAGAGATGTTTCTCAAAAGACGTCCGGGTCGAAGTTCTGGGAAAACGTGCTGCAATCAGGACTGGTAACCTTTCCCCTCAGACGTGTATCTTTAAACCAGTAACTTTTCAAGGAGAGTAGTGAGGTCTCCCTGTGAGGCGTCTTCTCTTCTCAGATGGAGCAGATCCCCGATGATGCGTTACAGAGACGTCCACTCATTAGCAGAGTCCCACACAGCAGCTGCTGCGTGACGAAGGAACAGCCACCTCGTCGTCTCCTGGTCCTCCGTCTGCACTAAACATCTCTTACTCATGCAAGGAGCCTGGACACTGACACACAGATTCCAATCTCAGCCTATGCCGACCAGCCACACACACACACACACATTTCCATATCCCAAACCTCATTAAACTCTTATCCCCTTTCCCACCTCGTGGCACCGTAATGGGCTTCCCTGCCCCCTTCTTCCCACTCACGCTGATAAAATATATCACCGGGACTCCATTTATCATAATGCTGATGCCCTTGGGCAGCCCCGAGGGTGGGCCGATGACTTTTGGAGGATGGGGGGGATACTCAGGGGCGTCAGCTGATGGATAGAGGCTTCACTGTCAGTCCCCTCTTTCAGAAATACATGAGGCTTCACAGAGAGTAGAGGACCCGCACACAGAAAAGATGTCATGAGACGTGTGATCTGCATCATTCATCACAACTGGCAACTCGTAGAAAAGACACAAACGATCAGTTGAGGACAGTGACTTGAGAAGGAAGCTCAAAATACATGTTCATTAACACCAGTGTTTTAGAAGGCCTTTTCCCCGCAGATACAGACCAAACATCTCAAAGACGACACGTTTGTGGTTAAAAAACGGAACACTCACCCTGCACGATTTACTGGACCGCTTGCCGGACAGATCATATTTTCCTTTTATCTCTTTAAGCAGCTGCTCCAGGTGACTCTTCTCCTCTTTGCCGGTGTAGTCCGGGTCGAGCAGCACATAAGCCCGCCAGTTGGCCGAGTCGAACCCCCAGTGGACCGTCCGGTTCTCCAGCCTCTTGTGACTGTGGACCACGAACTTGTGGGCCGGGAACATGAGTCTGCAGTCCATGCACTGGATGCAGGCGGCACTCGGACCCGCGTACAGCTCCGGGACGAACAAGCCTTTACACCGACCGAAACACTCGTGGTACACCTTGAAGCTCTTCTCGGTTCGCTCCAGCTCCAGGGAGCCCAACTCCTTGCTGCAGTGGGGAGGGTAAGTACCGCCGTAGATGAGCGCGTTGCAGAGGCGCTCAGCATCCGTCTGCGTGATCAGCCCGCAGGACGGAGCCGAGAAGGGCAGGATGCCCACCACCTTCAGGATCTCCAGCTGGTCCGCCGTGCACCTGGAGCAGTAGATGTGCAGGTCGTCGCACACCGAGTTGATCTGCTGCAGGGAGAAATCCCTCAGGACGCTGTTGAGGATCTGCGGGAGGCACAGCCGCTTCTCGCCGCCGACCACGAAGCAGGAGATGGGCTCCCGCTCCAGGACCGTCTCGCACCTCTCCGTGGACCGGTCGGAAGGGATGAAAAGTGGACCGGACATCACCGGAGGTGTCTGGGCCGGGAGGGTGAGCATCATCTCGACGGATTTTCCATCTTTACCGAAATATGAGTCCTGGTGCCACCGGGCGGAGAACGCCGCCGGCCCGCCGAGGGAGCGCATGGAACTCAGATGGAACTGCTTCAGAGTTTGTTGAAGTCCGGGATGGGGCTGGAAGCTCGTGCCCTCCATGTTGTCGTCGGGTGGAAAGTAAGAGACACAAACTCAAAATGAAAGCTCAAATTGACTTAAAGGATCGGGCGTCCTCAGCATCCGGCTACGCGCTCAATAACGCGCATTTCCATGTCACCGGAGAAGCTTCCCAGCGCGTCCATTCAGAAAAAAGAAAAAAGAAAACGACGGCTGCTGAATTCACTCGGGCAGTTCCTGTAAGAAACCGCAATTAAAGTCGACAACTCCGACGCTCAAACACTCGTAGGATCCAACGTACAATCAGCGGGTGCCGTGTTTCGATGCGCTCCTGCGGTTTTACGCACTCCCGACGCGAGCTCGAAATACGCCTCGTCGGCTCAGTCTGGCGTAAAGCTACTCTCAGTCTGTCTCCCGACTCACTCAACGTGTGAGACTCTCTCTCTCTCTCTCTCTCTCTCTCTCTCTCTCTCTCTCTCTCCCCCCTCTCTCTCTCTCCCCCTCCTCTCTCTCTCTCTCCCTCGCCCTTTCTGTTTGTTTGTGTCTGGTTCAGTCATTGAATCCCAGCCAGGAATGTGACTGACTCCCCGGGCCGGCTCTTCCCTCAAGCCAGCTGTTCCTCCCCCTGCTACATGGCAGCTGCACAATAAAAAAAAAAGAAAGAAAGACAAAAATCCCTCTGAAGGGAAGGTGGAGCTTATGAAAACATAGTTGAAGTTTGAAAAATAAGAAATACAACTTCAGTATTTTGCATGTACAGGCCTTGAAGATCGGCGTTTTCTGTCGTTCTTATAAACCTTTTGAGAATGTAAAGTTCAAACCAGATGATCTATAACATGCTGCAGTCTATATTTGTATGTTTGCTTGAGAAGGTCAATCTGAAACTGTAGAAACATGTGGTAGCACAAGGGCTGTACTTAAGTTCATATTTGAGGTACTTATAGGCTGTACTTATAGGCTATACTATTTTTTTCTCTAGTACATTTATACATTTGACAACTTGAGTTAGTTTACAGATTACAATTTAACAAATAATCAAGCACAAAAAAGAAATCGCAATCCAACAATTGTTGTTTAACATAAAGAAGATGTTTCATGCATAACATGCATTGAATATTCTTCTATTTTTTAGGTATTAAGCCAATAACACGTACATCTTCAAAGACTTTGACGTTAAAACGATTTAATCAAAGTAAAATACCTGAATATTTTATCCATCAATAATACAGCATTTATATAAATCCTTTGCTGAATTTCAGCATTTCCTCTGAAATCTTTATATTGTTCCCCAATTCATCTGCTATAAGCATCAGCTACACATTTTCCGAAAAGAGTAATGTTTGACCTACTTATTGAAGATTGTAGATTTCAATGACCGTATGCATCAAAGTGTTGGATATCACTTTAATATAAATTCCATACCAGCATAAATACAATAATGCTACTAAAATTCTCCAAAATGTATCAAAAGGTTCTACCCCTCCTCTCAATTAGCACTTGTTTTACTATTTGCATTACTGTTTCCTTGTTGTTATTGTTTTTTTTATCAAGACACTTTGACAACTAATAAGTAACAGAATCTTGAATTAAACAAATCATTTATTTTACCTTTCCTAATCACTAGAGGGCAGTAAACATTAATAATGAACTTTAACTCATGGATATTGATGCAAAGGCAGAGTTAAATCGGGAGAGTTTGTGAAGGTCACACAATATTTAAAAGAACATCTGTTGTTAGATGCTTTAAACCAGTGGTTCTCATGGTCTGGCCCCGGGACCCACCATCACCCCTTAATGACAAACCGCGACCCAAATCGAGGAACATTCTCAACTTCTCAAATTTATTTAATGAAAATATGATGCAGTTTGAACCTGAGATAGTATGGAGACAGAATACGTATGCCAACCAGAAACAGGTTTAATGAAAAAACAAAACAGCCAGCTGTTAATTCTATTTTTTTATTTTCCCAGGCAAAGGCCACCAGTTGAGAATCACTGCTTTAAACAATCTACAACACGGTATGAACGATGATACTACGTACGTCTCTGTACCTCAGTGGAGGTTACTAATCCATGTGTCTAAAATGTAATATAAGCACATTCATCAGACATTATAATGCATATGAAAAGCTTTATATAGGACTAATAATACTTGATAACTTATAGCAAGGTTGATTGAGTATTTTCAGAAGTGGAATATATTGTAAGCCTTCCTTTTCCTAATGATTTATATTTCCATGCCAAAATGATTATAAAAGAATCAGATCGACAGGCCTCCTATGGCACAATCATGAGGACATGACCGGTATTTCTTTGTGGAAAAAAACTGTCAATAACACAGAACTTTTCTCCCCTTTTCTGAAACAAGGACATTTGTAATTGTGCTACGGGTTCTCTGACTTTGGGAGAAAAGTTTAGTGGTAACCAAAGAGTCAAGACAAATGCTAACGCAGCAATATCTGTGAGAACCATATTAATATAATGGGACGGGAGCCGCGAACTAATGATATGTCTGTTTTCTAGGGTCTTACCAACCAGGAAATCACGTAAGGGCCGTGCGTTACTTTTCATATGACTTATTATGACCTACATTTTCATGCCGTTAAAGTTCTTTTAATATACTATACATTGACTATATTATATTTATTTGAATGAGATTATATACTATAACATTTTATGAATTTCCTATAGTTTCTTTTGAAAACGGTTAATTAGATATACTTATATTATAACAGTAGGTACGTTGTGGGAGGCTGAGAGAGGGAACATATTTATTAATAAGCAGTTAATGGAAAAGGTTTACTTTTTTCTCTTCCATTCTTTGCATATTTATTTTTAATGAAACAGGGCGTGCTGTACATACTCCGGTGCGGTAGGTGGCGGTATAGACTCTGAAGCACGCAGTTCCACGTCCCGTCACCCTGTGACGTCACGAAGCTAGATGACAATTTCAACATTGGCGTTTTGTTATTTAAAAATGAGAATTACAACACCGCAAGAAAAGGGAGAGTCCTTTAAAGCAGAGTACATAACATACATTAAACTGTATGTCAATGGGTGGAACGTTGTAACGTTACCGGGATGTACAGGAGGAAGGGGCTTAAAAATCAGGAGCCAAAGCCACAATCATATTCCTTTGAGCACACGTTACGTTTCTTTAAAAAAAATACAAAAGTAGTTAAATTATATAGAGTTCTGGTTCTGCATTGCTGCTTCACCGGAGACATTTTGCAAAAGGAATAAATATGATAGAATCTTGCTAAGAGCTAAATTAAATAGAAAACATATTCTTTACTTTATCAATATCATAAAACACAGTATAAAACATAGAAATATCGAGTCTTACAAAAATGCATTAGTTAAGCTTACTTTCCATAGCAGAATATCATTTTTCCTTTTGTTTTACTCTTACAGTGGATTATAATTAGTTTCCAATATTTTACAGTTCACACTTGTCCACACTTTTAACTGGTACTGTAGGACATGTACTTATTCAATGAGAATGTCTGTCCAAACGTCTGACTGCTACTTTATATACGGCATTTTCAACAACAATTTGTTTATAACAATTAGATTTTAAAGTATAAAAAGCACTCAAACAGCTTTTTTAAAATCTTACATTCTTTGCAGTTACATTTCAACAAAAATGTTGCACATCTAATGCTTGCGATACTTAACACAAATTAAAAATGTTCCAAGTAATTACTTCCCCTTTCCCCCTTTTTAATTAAAACAATACAGTTCACACAGTCCCACAATTAACCAGCATCAGAAACAACAAGAATTCCCAGTAATGTGACTAACACAGACAAAAGTTCAGGATGCTTTTCATTGCAACACAAAATCGTCTATTAAATAAAACTCAAAGGCTGCCCCGTGTTTGACAGTTCTGGCTTGACGTCAAACAAAATCTCACCATTGACAGCTTATCCTTTCATGCAGAATTAAAGATGCTTTACAAAAGAAATAATAATAACCACAGCAAATCGCAAGCTTCAGTGAGGACTCAATGTTCTCATTCCAGGCGTGTGTCTGCAGAGCCTCCGTCACATTGCTCTCAGCTACATTTAACCTCCTCAGTGGGGAGCAGGCAGTAAGAGAGAGAGACACGCTACTCTAACTCCGGCATCTTATTGTCATACAGCGGCGGCGGAGTGATGGGCTCGATGGTCACCGGGTTCTGCGTGGGGCTGCGGATCTGGAGGCGGAAGTCCTTCAGGTGAAGTTTGTCCGACTTGATCCTCCTCACCCGCAGGGGCCGCAGCAAACGGCTCGCCCGGCTAGCGCTGCGAGTGAGCAGGCTGTGGTTGGACGAAAGGCCGGGCCGGGCATTCCGGGGCTCGGCAGCGGGCCCCGGGACGGCGGGCCCCGGGGCGGCCTCACCGAGCGGCGTGACCTCGGAGGCGCCGTCGGCGGGCCCCGTCCCCTCGTTCTCCACGGCAGCTATGATGTCCTCGTAGGACGGCAGCTGGGACGTGCTGTTGCGGAGGTTGCTCTGGCGGACGGGGTAGGCGCCACTGGTGACGACCTCCTCGTAACTCGGCACGGTGTACGAGGCTCGGTCAGCCGCTCTGCGGGAGAGAAAGTGCGGCGTAAAGACATTTAAACCTGCGATAACAAAACCATCCGGACGTTGCCTTCGATGTCGAGATGAAAAACAAGGTTTTAGTTTTTCACATATATCAGTTTTAGAGCAACATTATCATTCAATTGGAGTTGTTTTTTGTGTCCACCTGTCAAAATGTTTGTTGCTGAGCTTGTGCTGGTTCAGGGTTTGTCATTCACACATGGATTCATCGTTTTGATTTAGTATTTATAGCCATGATTATTCATTTAGCCTGACTGCTGTTGAGTAAAATATCTTTACTACTTATAAAATGAAGAAGCGCCGTCACTCACGCTTCCTCCGGCTCCCTTGCCACATGGTTCAGGAGGGCGTCTGCGGTCGCCGCTGGCTGGCTAGTCGCATTGCCTCGTTTCTTCCTGCTTCTCACACAGAGGAGTATGGATAACAGCAATACGGCCACCCCGACTCCCACCAGCACCATGGCCACGGTGGACGGCTGCGAGCTGTCTTTGGCGTCGGGCCCTGCAGTGGAGTTGCTAGGCGGCGTGGGGGTGGCGCCCGAGTCCTCACCGTCCATCGGTACAACGGTCCACACGATCATGACGATACCCAGCGCTATGAGTCCCACTCCGAGGGCGCAAAGGGCATAGTGAGCGCCCGAACCGGTGCCCTCGGAGCCGGAGGATCGGCTGGTGTTGCCGCACAAACTCCGGCTGGAACACATCCCTGCAGGACAAACTGGAACACAGAGGATCCCCAATGCAGTGACGTGTGAGATGAGGGAACATGAGCCAGTCAATCAAGAGGGTCACATTGCCAATTTGTTGTGAGTAGTTCGTTCTGATGGGTAGGGGTTGCACCCAGTGCATTTACAATGTAAATGTAACACTGCAGCGACTGTGGTAATTCAAATAAATCCAAGCAATGCGATTGGACGAAGATGTATTGTAGCCGTGAGGTAATTCAACTCAGCACGCACCCGCCTCACTTGTCATGCAAACTCACGTGGGGAACAGTTGTGCCACTTTGACAAAAAAGGTTTTCGTAACTTGTAAATACATTGTAAGAATCAGCTTTCCCTGAGCATCGTAACATCGTCAAATGGCATTTTATTTTATTTAAAAAACACCCAAAGATTTTTACTTTACAATCGTAAATAACCGAGAAGCAGAAAATTCTCAAAGTAATCAATTTACACATAAAGTGTGTTTTTGGTATTTGACCAATTGCTTCAGCTCTATTCACATTAGTCCCATTTTCTAGGAAATTGCTTGTTGCAGCAGAAACAATCAAAACCTGCCCTGACGCAGCATCTGCAGTATAAACTGATACATCTGGCTGCATTGCTGGATTAATTACTTCCTGAACGGTTTGTGCTAAAATGCTGAGATTGCGGAATTGCGGAACAGGAATGAGAGAACAGGTTGACCAGAAACCGGTTAAAACAAAACAGGTGCACTAGTAACTCAACACAAGTCTTGACAAGACAAATTGAGAGAAATCCACTCTTTTGATTGAGGGCAATGACTCACACCAAAAAAATGGCGCAGCACAAAAAATGACTTTGCGACAATTGTATAAGGATATATTACTCCATGATCCCTATGAGAAAACAGCATGAAGACCTTTAGAAAATAAATGCAATAGAATACTACAACCCTACAAAATGGCTACTTTTTGACTGTGTGAGAAGTGTCAGAACCTTTAAAACAAATCATTATCTTTACCCTTTTTTACTTCAGCAAGTCACTTCTCAACTTGTTCCATTTGAATTCTTTGTAATTCTTTCTAAATTATATTTGATTGTCTATATATATATATATATATGACAATCAAATATAATTTAAAAAAATACACAGAATCCTCTTCTACTATTGCCTAAAAGGAAGTAAGTGTAATAGGTTAGAAAAACAAAACTTAATAACCAGCAGGAAGTACATGTATCCTTTGAAAAACACATCAACAATATTTAGGTTGCGCTGTTCAGGTGTTTTCAGTTTTAGGGTGACAGCAGCAGTATTAAGAGATGGAAGTGCAAATTCCAAAAAAAAAGATAAGTTTAATTTACTCAGCATAATAAATTCAAGGTAATAGATCGGTTTAAAGATTTCTTGCATCCAATCTTCAATAAGCCACCACCTGCTGCAAAAATGTCCGGAGCGGATTGACGCGACAGGTGCAAAGCGTGAACAAAGGGTTTTTTCATTCATGATTTAAAGGCCAAAGTATTTGAAGGATGTCAAACTCTCCGTGTGTTTTTATTGTTAGCACTTAACAGTTTTATCATGTAGCACTTTGGGATTTTCTTAAATATAAAGTGCATTACAAATTAAATGTTTTATTATTATTATGTCATCAATGTACTTAAATGCAGATGAAAGTCCAACCCTTCGTTCAGAGCACACCCTGCAATTAGGCTTCTGCTCTCCTGTTCTGACAGCTAAATCATGGGATCGGCATAAATGGAGCTGTATTTAAAAACGTAAGCGTAGTGGATGTAGCCTTTGCAGTTTCATGCAAGCTATGAATGTTAGCCGTGTGCAAGACTCGCAAGCAAACGGCAAGTGGGAACATAAATATCAAATACCATCATGTAAGGGCTTCCTACCCGTTACTCTGATCACAGTCATCTTGAACCCCAATTTACCACTGAACACCTCGGACACGCACAGGTAACCCAAACCGCAGTGGATCAGTCACTACAGTAGATGTCGCCATGGACCAATTGCCATGATGACACACACACACACACACACACACACACACACACACACACACACACACACACACACACACACACACAGTGTGAATAATGTCTGTTGTGGCTGGAATGGATTTATTCAGTAGTACAATATATGTATATTGCAAAATTATAATAATGGATTTATGCTTTGGCAGGAAGGACACAGAGTGGCGTGAGAATGCTGCCCTCTGAAATAGAGTTTATATTGAGTGCAACCAGGATTCAGTTCACCACATTTAACATCAAGCTGAACTACATGCTATTTAAATGTGTCAACACTGCAAAGTTAACGTCATCAATTTTACCAGCACATTCAGTGACTGCAGGAGACTTTGATTCGCCGATTTGATACAGTATCGATTTCCAATAAACGGATCAAACCCTCCTTGGACCCCCTCACACCACCTGCAGTGAGGGGACGGGTTTCTGTCCCACTGCTCTCGAGCTGTCCGTTTGCACGCTGCGTCATCAAAGGCTTCGGGACATTCTTCAGCAATGAACGCGCAATTACTGCGCCGCATGTCCTCCGTGTTTCAGGCTCGACGGTGTGCGCGGGTGTGTCCCTTTCCACGCAGGTACTTCTCACGACATTTACACACTAAACACGGTGCCTTGAATGGTCGCAGGCTTTACCCGCCGCTTCCACGGGAGATATTTCCCTTTCGCTTCAGCCAGCTGCCTTTCTTTTGTTTCTATGTAAAGTAGGAAGGCTTCCCCCCCACAAGGAGACACTTAAAAACTATACTTATAAATGATAAAAGATACGCGAGCGAGCCAGTTAGCAGAAGGCGGTGAAGGTGATCCGGAGGAGGCCTTACCTTTCGCCGCTCAATGACACGGACTTCCCTCTTCACCTGAATCACGCAGGTGTGTTTCCAGGAAGATCACAGCGCACATAAAGGGAAGAAGACATACACGCACCGACCGGCCGGAGATTCGCGTGTTAAAATCACACAGCGTGTTTTACATGTACCTGTATTCAGCGTTTACAACCGCAGCAAAAGTTTTAGGTGGAACTTCAAAGTTGAAATTGCAGCCGGTGTGAAAGCGCCGCTGTGCCCGATCCAAGGCGCCTCCCCGGCTCGGTATCCGCGGGGTCCTAGCGCCGCCCGCGGGCCTTCCGCTGGGATGTAATACAACTAAGCGTATGGAGGCGAATGTGAATTAACTGCATGTTATTTATTATTCTATGAATGCTATAATTATAAAAAATATTCCAGAACCCAGGGAGGGAATGGTTATTCACTGTCATATAACAAAAAGAGATGTCATATTTGTCTATTTCTTATATCAATACACTACAGAGGTATGATTTAGCAGATGAAGTGGTGTCCCAAAGGTCAGAGTCCCCAAAGGTTAGCAGTTTTAGCTCAGAGCAGCAATTGTCGCACTAACCCCTCTCCAATCTTTTTTGATGCATTATAGAATAAAAACTACAATATACAAACTAATCATGAAGCTTGAACAATGACAGGCCATAGTTGTATATGCGTTGACAATAATTTGACCTTTAATGTTGGCGTACAACATTTATACAAACACTGGTGTTAAAATCATGAATCATGAAAGTGTTTTCCTTCTGTTTCCATACCTTTCAACTTTAGTCTAATCTTCCCACTCAAACAAATTTGCTCTTTGGGAGTGAAGGAGACGCCCAATAGTGAGTCAATCCTGTTTTCTATTTGGATTGACCTCGGGTGTCTGGCTGCACAGTTCAATTGTGGGTTTTGATGCTCAGCAACAAATTCAAAAGTGTTATGAAACAGGATCATTAAACTGTACAAAAATCCCATTACATTGTCAACTGAGCTAAAAAAAGAAAGAAAAAAAGAAAGAAACCGCATTATGTTTATGTTAGTCTAATGTTCACTAATACAATATAAACATGTGCAGATAATTGGATTGAATATTTACACATCAGCACAAAATCCAACATTCACTGTATGTTTCGTATACATAGAACCAAGATGAGTTTTGCTGAAAACAATATCTCAACGCTTCAATTGAAACAAAAACTGTTTTAAATTATATTAATATATTATGTAACACTGATGAGATGATGGAATTGCACCAGTTTTCAAAATGACAGAATTCATGTCATGGGTGCCAGGATCATAGAAGTGTGACTCTCTTCATCCCCCCCTTGTGTCCAGAATACATATGTCTTTTTTAATGTTGTAATGACAACATCTCACTTCGGATCGCTACAGTAGAAGCTTGATATAATGACTTTTTATTCTAACGAGCATAATCATTAATTTACTGTAGGTGCTGTCAGACCTATTTCATATAAGGCCTCAGAGGAGAACAGCACTGCATTCAGTTATGAAGTACGTTATTCTTCAGCCTTTTATAAACTCAATATAAAACCCATTTGGGCGTTTTGTCGGAATAAAACAAAATGGTCTTTGTGCATAAAATCACCTTCCCATTAACTTACAACTATAACACAACAACAATGTAAACAATAGCAACAACATCAACGATCTGGATGGCGGCGGCCGGTTCAGACGTTGGTGATTTCCACACTCTTGTAAGTGTGCATCGGGCTTCCGTTGGCCCGGGGGACGGCCTGGACTCGCGCCTCTCTGGGCAGGAAGTTGCAGCTGCCATGGAAACCCAGACCTCGCTCCGCCGAGTGGCTGTTGGCACGTAACCTCAGCGGACTCTAGAATAAAAGATAAAACAGAATAAGTGGGAGTGACACCATTCAAGATTCAGTTTAAGTCTAAACTATTACACGATGAATCTTCTACAACCAATTCAACTTTCTCAACATTTGACACCTCTTAAACTGTGTGATTGTTGTTGTATGTTCATAATCAAACCACGTCTTTGATCACTAGATCACAGAATCCAGATAAGATAATGGTATGAATGTAAACAAAACCATTTAACAAAGTAACAGGAGCTAATTTGACAAATTATTTAATTTGTCTGGTGATGTTAAACAAAGGCCTGTGTATGTTTACAAGAGCGTGAAATTAAATTACACCTTGCCGGATCTTCTCATCGACGCCCTCTTCTCTGCAAAGCGGCAAACAGAAACAGGCGAAGTGGAACAGATGACTTCACTGCCTTGCTCTGCACTGCTGTGAAATACAAGGAACATTATATTAACTAATCTGCATGATGTTTACATTGAATCCATAGAAAAAAAGGCAACAAAACCACCGGTAATGATATATCTTAACATTGTAGAACCAATTCTGCTTAAAGAGTTGAATAGCATAGGAAAAGTGTGCAATAAGAGTTTTCTAATCCACCTGTGATGGACTGCCAGTGATTTCATCTCTTCGTATAGGTGGCGATGCAGCATGTGTTTGCTGCTGGGGATCCCCAGGGCTTTGGCCAAGGTGTCAGTGTCAAAGGAAGGGTCCAGAGACATCACAGCTCCATGAATCCCTTTGCCCTGAAGGTTGTCTGCAAACTCCTGGTGGGGGGAAAAAACACTTGTTTTCTGCCTGTATTCTCACAGCAATTTCAATTATCACACACACATCAATTTTGACGCCGTCAGTTATCACAGCCTAAGTATTTGGGAACAGTGAGCTGCTCTAAAGCGTCCAGTGTCTCACTCGAGGACGTCAAGTCATGCGGACAGGAGGAGCGGAGACCATCAATCTCTACCTCCTGAATTCTTGAGGGTATCCTAGCAACTAGTAAGTAGTACTTGTTTGCCATCTGTTTTTTTGTTGTTTCCTGAGCAAAGGGGAATATCGTCACTGACGTCCCACCCACCTTGAGGTCTATGTCTGTGATCCACTTCATTACTCTGTGACATGTCCAAACAATGGGGTCTTGGTCTTGGTGCTCACATTTTGTCCGCCGTGCCTGCAGGGCCTGCGGAAGAACAACACACAGATGAGTGCAAACACAGAGAGACGTCGGGAAAGGATGATGGCCTGCTTAAGCCATGATGAATAATTATAGAAATCAAATCCAACTTTGTTAGTGTAGATGAGATAAACCTGAGAAACGGCTGTCAGTTGCTTTTCATCTACTCCTATGTAAAATGCCAATGTCGATCTTCAATCTGACCTCTTTATCAAAACTGAGTATCTGCAAGAGCTGTATTGCCAGAAGCAGACTGGTCTGGTGGAACTGGTCGCTGATGTTGAGAAATCTCTCCAGGTCCCGGCGGCTCAGGGAGTTCAGCACACGGCCGTCCACCAGATGAGCCTGGAAGGTCTGCGAGTACTGAGGCAACCCCACGTCACTCAGCCACGACGTGGCAACCCAGTGATGGTCCATGTCGGACACTTTCGAGAGTCTACGAGATGATTAGACAACGCCGGTCAGCACGGGAAGAAGTTTTCAGCTGAATGAGAGATCCGAATACCTGAATTTAAAATAGTACTTGTATGCAACAAAATGTACTTACAGGGTCAGAAAAGGGGGCCAATAAATTGTAACTGTTTAACATTTTATATATTATAATATTTTATTTTACTGTGGTTGATTACCTTTGAGGCTTGTTACTGTTGTTGTGTGGCTTGATTGTATCTAAATCTTAATCTTTAAAGTAACCAGTAACTAAAGCGGTGAAATAAATGTAGCAAATAGTATCCTCTGGGTTGTAGTTGAGTGGAAGCATTAAGTTGTAATGACAGAGAAACACTCAAGAGCAAATACCTAAAGTGTGTACTTTATTACTGTGCTCGTATTCGTATTCTCCCCCTGCTGCGAACTAATCATTTCAATATTTTGCTAATTGCCGCTCACCCCTGGTCCCCTTCGGCTCTCCTGTAATCCTCAATGGCCAGTCTCAGTTTCCTGTGATGCATGGGGTTACTGATGCCCAGACCCAGCTCCAAATCCTCATCCGTCAGGCCCAGCAGGACCTGAAGAAAAGACATCCAGTTCGTAATCAGACATCATCATCCCCCACTCTCAAGCACAAGTAGCCACATATACCGAAGGTGTACCTTGCCACTTTTGACGTTTTCGGAGCAGGCGCTAATATACATGGGCATTCCCATGACCACCTCCAGCCAGGCCCGCACTGCACCGGCCCTCCACAGCGACATGCATGTGTTTCGAGTGAGCTCCGCCTGCTGGAGGCGGTCCAGCTGCTCTTCGCCGTCAGACGGGCTCTGCTGCGTGAGGCGTTCAGAGTCTGGATTGTTCAGGGGAAGTTTTGGCGTGACATACGGGTGGGTGGGGGGGGGGTTCAGGGTCAAAGGAATATGGAAATCAACAAATGTGACTCATTTGGAGAAAGGTGAACATCGGAATCAGAGGGCATTCACATTAGAAATTCACAGATTCTCTTTTGTAAAATCAACAACTGAGATTGGCAAATTTTGCCAGATATAAGAAATGGCCACTAGATGAAGCCAAACAATTCATTTTAGCTTTACGTCTTTAGATGAACTGTATTGTCTATGGAATAAGTTCCCAGGTCTATGAAAAATAAAACTAAATAGAAAACTACGCAATTGAGTCCATCTAAAAGGCATAAGTAATACAATTAGTTTTAGTGGTGTAGTCTGGTGAGTTCTAAAACTACGCTACAGTGTTTAGTTCTTAAATTACTTCAGCCACTATCTGATGATCACGATGGGACTAGATAACGTATTAGAGACACAGGGATTATTCATAAAACATCATGCAGGAAAACGCTGATTCACACTAAACAAACGAATCCAGGATGAATGCTGCGCGTTTGCCTGATCGGTCTCCACATGCGGACAAAAAACGCTGCATGCAGAGTCCACCGTCTCTTTTTCAAAAGAGTTTCCAGAGGAAATGCCAAATACTTTTTTCCCCAATTTTTCCAATGGACCGGAGTGATATGAATAATCCCCAGAGTGCAGAAACAGACAGCTGCCAATCACAGATGATGAGTTACTCACTGGCAGGAGAGAGTTGCCATTAGATATGGCAGGAGGAGAGGGAGAGACACGTTAGACTGGGACACAATAACAAGATTACTCATGGAACAGACAACTGCCACATAGGATTCATTCAGTTACTAGTTTTATTTTTAAAATAAGATTTCATTTCAATTATAATTCATTTTTGAAAATGATAAACCTCCTCAACATCTGAGTGCAACAACTGCAGCAGATAAATATTTGAAGTTCTCTCTCCTTTGTATTTCTTCTTTTTAAATAAAATACTTCAATAGATTTGATGCTCCTAAATTACAAAGCATTTAACATATAATTATTAGAGCCACATTTGCAAGAAACGAGGAGGAATTTTACACAAAGGAAAATAAAAACTGCCTAAAAAAAATAAAAAAGGGCTTTGCATTCACAATGCAAGGAAGAGGTTGGGAAAGAACTTGGTAAAGGGAAAACGTAACACAGGATTATGGAGAATATTAATTTGATTGGCAATGAATGGACATCTAATAAATGCAGCAAAGAAGGATCAGGCAGGTGTTTAATGCACAATCCTTCGTCCCACATTGGTACAATATGTTAGATTGCTCTAGAAGAAATGAGTCAGACAAAAACAATGTTAAGAGGCGCTAACTGTGACGGAATGACACGTAGACTTTTTTCACATGACCTTTGGCATTTGCACATGGTTTCGACAGCAGACGAGTAGGACTATGCATCGCTGTTGATCTTTTGTTTGGGTTTTCATCTCCGTGAAATTACATTTTAAGGAAGATTGACTTGTTTGCCAGTCGTTAATTATTTTAACTGATAATATGATATTGACCGTAAACCTCCCAGCTGCCCGCAGTATGATATGTTTATACATGAGCCAGCGTTTCTAAAAATGAACATGATGGCACTCTTGTACCAGCAATACCTCTGAAAGTACAACTTCTGTTCCAACAGCAATTTGAAAACGACACAAATATGGCCAATTATACTCCAAAAGAAAGCCAATAAGGTGATATCTTCTTTCACAATAACAAATGGGACACGTGAGATTGGGAAGAAGAAGAAACTTTGAAATCAAGGCTGCAAAGCATGATAAAAGCAACCGTAAAGTAACAAAAGCCAAATTACATTTACAGTAAAAACACTAGTTCCACAATAGCTCCTATTTACATATTAACAGCAGTCCTTCAAGTCTCCAGTTATAAAAAACACATTAAACATTAAGACATTTGGAAGATAAAACAGCATAAACATGTCTACAAAGAATAATGACCCCATGTATATATTTATATGCATGTAAACATATATACATATGCATACATGTACATCTATAAATATATATCTCATTTACAAACATACAATTTAACGGTAATATACTCTACATTTACGGGGATAGCAGTCTCTTTTAGGCATTTCTTTTAACCCCCCTCCTCCCCAAAGACAAACCCATACATAAAACATCCTTTACACACAGCTAAAACCAGGTGAAGATCCACACAAATGCACCACTCACACGCAGACTCACGCACTCCGTATCACCAGTCAGCATCCTCTTCTATGTAATAATCGGGGGTGGCTGTACCATCAAACAGGCCGGGGTCCAGTGACTTGCGTTGCTTGCCTCGAGCGAACACCCGTGAAAGGGATCCCAGAGTCATCTTCTCCTTCTTCTTCTTACGCTTCTGATCCTCCAGGTCCTCCATGGACTAAAAGGAGCGAGACAGGAATCTGTTTTTTTGTTTTCATGCAGCCAACAGTGAACACACTATGTCAGCATTTTGGGAAACATGCCTGTCACCCTCTTGATGGTTTGATTGGTTAGCTTAGCGCGACGACTGGATGCGTTGGAAACGGCCCAAAATATGACAAAATGTGCCTATCGGCGCCTTGAACCCGCGGCGGCTTCACACATTTTTAAATGAGGTGGGTAAGATGTATGAAAAATAAAAACACAATATAACGTTAAATAAAGTTGATAATTTTTTTTTAAATAGGGCCCTTAAACACAGATAGGTAAACCCCCCTGCATGCTCATGGGGGTTATGTGTCTGCCCCCCCGTCTCTTCTGCTAAGCTAACCGGTTACAGCTTCTTCCTAAAAACAGCATATTTCCCAAAATGTACAGCGATTTCTTTCGAATGACTTAAAAGCCAAACAACAACATCACCACCACTACCAAGCGGGCGGGCGGGCAGCACCCGGCAGGCCGACAGAACAGAGAGACAGGCACAAACAGCAGGAGAGCAGAAGAGCCGGGCAGTGCGGCGGCGTGAATACTTGCTGGAGGAGGCCACGCAGCGCTTACGTTGCACAGGGAGTGGGTCCGGTGACGAGGGGAGTTGATGTCGCTGGGCGTAGAGGAGCGGTCTCCGTCGGCTGCGGAGGCGTCAGAGATGACAGACGGCTGCCGAGAGTGGCAGGGGCTGATCCTGACCACGGCTGGATGTGCCACGCGCACATGTGCAAACAAACATTTATCCGCACGTGGAGAAAATACCCAGTTAGTAAGAAGTTAAAGTAAGAGAAACCTCCAGGAACCACTTTTGTTAGTATGTTTTTGTCTTTTAAAAAGCAACACACAGCGGCATGGGGACAGAGGAGCCGAGCAGGCGGAGCGGGAGGGCTCACCCTGTCTGTCCGCGGCGTGTCCGTGGTAGAGGGTCTGCTGGCTCTGGCGGATGGCCGCGGTGAGCGGCAGATCGGCCTGCATCACCCACTCCTGACTGCCGTTCACCACGGGCTCCGGGGGCACGGCCAACGAGTGCCGCTTCGGTACGTCTTTTGTCAAGGTGGCCAGGGACTGTTTTGCCTGGGAACGAGACACGGGAACATGAGCATGAACATGCCCACACACATTTTGTAAGATTTTTTTTAATTCAATTCAAATTGACTTTTTTTCGGAGTCCTAGTCTGTATTTCTTCAGGTCTGTTGTGCATTGTGTTAAACACTCCAAATGTTCCATATGAACAGCTTTTGTAGATAAACCATGAGAACTGTTTGCATGCGATAATGTGTGCAACCACACACTCAAACGTCCACCGTATTGTTTCTGGATTTACATTTTCAGTAGGAAGAAACAGTTATAGAGGAATAGAGCCGGTCCTTCGTGGACTGGGAATGTTAGCAACAATAAAAATATTGAAGAACAGCAGTGCTATCCCTTTGCAGATTGTGCCAAAGCTGTAGCCTACATGTTTTCCACTGGATTACTGGAAGACTATGAACGGGCCTTTGGTGGGCACTTGGTGGTAAGGGGAACAGATGGCAACACAAGGATCTTAAGAAGAACAAATAAATATGTTTTGCATCTTTGTTGCCCGCTTGCTTGACAGCGACGCAGCTCTTGCACTCATGTACCTACGAAAGGAAGCTTGACCTGAGGATCTGTGGGTGAGAGATTGATGACACACAGACAACTGTACCTCAGAGGCACTGACGCGGCGTGAGGATGCAGCTCACCGCACGTGTTCGAACAGATATGAGCACGGCCACATGATCACAGACCCTCGCCCGGTTTGCGTTTATGGCCTGAACACCAGAACCTGAACATTTGCTAATTCAAAAAAAAAAGTTGCGACTAGCGGTCGTCTGCCAGGTGACTCACCATGGTGAGCTCGGCCTCCAGCTCTTTGACCCGGTTCTCCTTCATGTCCATCTGAGAACGCAGGATGTTGGCCTGCTCTGTTGCTTCTTTGGTCTGTCTCCTCAGGTCCCACTTCTCCCTCTCGAGCATGTCCTTCTCCTTCGCCAGGGCTTTTACTGCATCCTCACTCTCCTGAGGAACGAACACACACACACACACACACACACACACACACACACACACACACAGTTAATTCTTGCCAAGCTCAGTGAACAATCAGTGGAGCATTTCAGTCAGCAAGCATATCAGATGTACATTCCGTGTTACAAACCATTTTAAAGAGTGTATTGGTCAAAAAGGGTGGTATACCGTTACACTATATAGATAAATGGGTCGGGCCGCTCTTACCTTCCGGTGCTGGTCGTAGTTGCGTATGAATTCTCGCAGCTGGTCGTCTCTGCTCTCCAGTGTTGCGTACAGCTGCTGCATCTGACTCACCAAGTCCGCCTTCTCCACTTTTAGACGCTTACGATCAGCTTTCATGGCTGCGCACACACACAGAACAACGCATTCCTAAACCGATGGCCGCATCCAGGTGTAAATCAAGAATCCCTTTAACCTGCAATTCTAATGTCAAACGGATGTCAAGAGATTTGTAAGTCAGAAACCAGCCACTAGGTGGCACTCTACCTTCTGTTAAGGAAGCGACGCAGCTGATGATTTATTTGTTGTTTTGTGTTAGACAAGGTGATGAAATCCTCCCAAAATATAATTGGAGTGGAACATATTCATTCATACATTTAACTGTTTCGGCTGGCGGATTGTTGGCTCATCCCGGAGAAGACCAATTGGATCGGATTTCTTTCAACATCCAGAGACAACTCAGCAGCGATGATGCAACAAGTGGGCCCCTTTGCCAGCAATGATAATAACAAGGGTGCCTTGAGAGTTTGTGCTCAGCAGAGAGACGAGGCTGGGACCTGTACATTTCACAACTGCACACAGGTGTCACGCAGGAGACAATCCCACTGACAACGTTTCAGTCTTTCCATATTTTACACTCAACATTCAAACCTGTTTTTCCGCAGTTACTCAATACAGTCCTCCGGCTCGCAGTTTACCTCCTGCAACTCAGAGCAGGCGGTGAGTGTATGAAGGAAGCCCACATTGGTCTGCAGTTTTCTCCAAAGTATCCATGTGTGTGGGTCTCACGTGTGAGGAGGATTGCTTTTACTCTCTGGGTGGATTTGTTGCTTTGTTTGTTGAAATGAATGCTGCATTCTACAATGCTGCAAGCTTTTATGTGGGAGTGAAGCTTCTGTTGCATGATTGATTAAGATCAATCAAGATATGGTGAACCTGGAGTCCTCTTGGCTGCAGGTGCAACAACACATACTTCTGAGTTGTACCAATGTCGAAAACACATGCGCATATCCAGTTTCTCTTGTCTACCGTCATAAAAAGCCGGTTGTAAACATAATAATGGATCATGTTTCTCTGATGTTTCTCTGTTGCCATTTGTGTGCACATGTTTGACACCTTTTACGCATAAATCCAAAAATATTAAATGTATTTTTTATTGCCATCATATTTTTTGGTCTCACATAAAAAAAAAGCATGGACTTAACCACCTGAAGATACATGTGTTACAGACAATGTGATTCCAGATTATGTATTTAACTATATGAAGCGAAAATATTTAGGGCATCTTACTTTACACGATGAAAACAGATATCGACTCGCCGCTGAGTTGAGCCCTGTTGTTCATTTTATATTTCAATACAGATCAAGGCGAGCTTGAGTGCCATGAAAGACTCCAGACTTCAAATAAATATATTAGTATATCATTGTTGGGTTTTAACCACTCAATGTCACAACTGGAAGCAATGTCAGTCTGGAGAAAGAAAACGGGTTTTTTTAATGGACTGTAACAGATTGAGCTTACCGGGAGCAAGGCAACGCTTCTTAGTGAGATAATAATGGTGGATGAACAAAGGGCAGTTCGTATAGTTGGAAATCCACTGTCTTTGCTCTATAGAAATATTAGTGAATTAGTTAAAATGTGATTCATTAAATTATAGCTTACTAGTTATTGTAGATAAATAAAATAAAATAAAATGTGCTGGTCTAGAACAAGACACTTCAAAACAACGATTTGGATTTGTTAACATTTTGAAGAACTCGATTGAAAGGCCATATTTCTTTCCAGTACATTTTTGATAGGAAATGTAACGGGTCACTGTCAGAATGTACATAATTCTGTGTATGTGCCACATCGGGTTTATCGGCAATCCCATAGAGGGAACGTGTATCATGACAAAAAGACAGACTAGTTATTTTCTTTGCGGAGATAAAGAGGGTTCCATTACAACAACATCTGGCGTGATGGAATTCTAAAGCATGGGAGGTCATACCAACAGCACAAACCGCTCTCTTTGCTGTATATAAACGGTGACTTTTCTCCTCAGGAAAGAACGGAGAGCGGAGATGAGGAGATAAAAAAAAGCAGCGCTCGTTGGCTCCTGACCTTGTAAGGCCTCCTTGGCTCGGTCCAGCTCCTGCTCCTTGTCACCCAGCTGCACCCGGAGCTCCGTGGCCGAGAGCAGATTGGCAGAGCAGCCTCCCTGGGTCTCCTCCAGGTCCTTACTCAACATGTCCTTCATTTGCCTCAGCAGGTGGACCTCCTCTTGAAGCTGCACCACCTCCTCACGCAACAACACTGAGGGAGAAAGAGAGCGATTCAGAATTTAGAGTATTCAGGGAAACTTCAGGGAAACCGTGGGCTTTTTGAGAATATTAAATTATAAGAGATGAAACTAAGAAGAAGCAAAAAAAGAGAGGAGGAAATAAAACAACAACAAAAAAGGAGAATGGTGTAAAATCGAGAAGAAAAAATAAATGTACAAGCAGCGGAAAATCAAGCTTATATTGGACACCTGGAATCGAACAAATGAACAACAAACACTTGAGGTGTGCTCTTCAGTGCGGTGTTTTTCATCCCTACCGATATGCCTCCCAACCCTCAGGGACAACAGTGAAAACCAACAAGAGCAAGAAACTAAGGAGAGGACACAGCAAACAGAGCAGGGAACTAACGGACCGGGGGGCTGGACATGTTTGCTGAGCAGCAGAGAGAGAAAAGATGGAATAGATAAAAATCGTTTTTCATGGGCTGTATGTCAGTCCAGTGAGGGAAGTACATACCAGAAAGAGAGGTACACATGTCATGATGATTTATACTGCACACACACGCTTCTTTTTTTACAGAATGATTTCCACAAAGACCAAAAACTGAGCTAAAACAAACAACTTCACTGTTAAATCTACTGAAAACCTAAAGAATTATAAGAACTTAATACCGTACAGGATGGAAGATCCCAACAAGGAAAGGTTGCCACTTTGATAAAGCCCGAAAGATTAGTTAATCAATTGAGCAGTGGATCAGTACAACATATCGATCAGCAGAGTTCATCCTCTGGGGATCAAGAATGCCTGCAGATGTCTTGCATCTGCAATCCCTCCACTTCCTTGGACACCAGTGGTTAAACCAACTAACCTTCAGACACATGCCATCCCTATATGCAGGGCTGCTTGCCTGGCGAAAAAGTACACTATGGCCTTAATTGTATGCGGGTCCCTGCAGGACTTAATGTAAAATGATGTAAAATTTAAGGGGAAGCGTGTAACAAAGTGTGTATTTGTGCGCTCGTGCGTGTCACTCAGAGAAAAGAAAGAAGGTCTCTGCAGGCCTGCAGCCAGACCTCGTGGGGCTGCAGCCGCTCCGATAAGAGGAGGAAGGGACGACGCACCGCTCAGTGCCGGCTCGGGACTACGGAATCACACGGGGCTGCTTCGTATGGGACAAAAATAATTTGTTTCCCTGAGAGAGCAATCGTTTAAAGCCGTCTTGCAGCCTAAATCCGCTTATTCATCCGTTTACCTACAGGCTTTTCCTATATGTGTCGCAGGGAGCCCAGCTGCGGCTTTTTATGCCACTGGACAGACGTGTGCCTTCTTTAGGCGCTTTTTTGTGTTCGGCTTAATCTGCAACTCTAAACCGGCTGTTTTAATTACCGGCTGCTCTTTCCGTTATGTGAAGGGGAGCCAGCTCTTTTAATTAAAGTGGAATGTAGTTGTTCAGCAGATCGTTTTTTAATTGAAGGATTCTTACAAACAACATTGCTTGTGATTATCTATTCTAGGTCATTTTGAAAACCGTGTTATCGTTGTGTCTTGGAGTTTTTACATTGAAGTTAATGTGAAATAAGTCTGATTCACAGATAATTCAGTGACATAATTCTCCCAAATCCAACTTTGCAAGCATTTCCGGCATCATTCCCTCAATATAAACTAACCCACAAACGCATGCACACAAATATCTCACAAAAAAGATGCTTCATTGCACATTGACTTGCATTAAGGCGCCACCTATGGCACAGACACAGGCCTTCTGACAATAGATAACGTGCCCCTTCATGCAGTGTTAATGGGATCTAAAAAGCTAACCCAACTGACAGGAGTCTTCTAAAACATACTGTTCTGTATTCATATGGGCTCCTTTCGGCTCTGACCCCGGAGTGGTTGTGCAGTGAGCTTGGTGAAGCAATTAGAGTCCTCACACCGAAGGAGAGAAGCCTACTCTTCTTCGTATTCTGCTGGGGCCCGTTATTTAATTTCTCATCCATGCCTGATTAAAGTGTCCATCAAAGCCGGTGAGGTCCAGGCCCTCATTTCCAGTCCCCCATAGCAGAGCCTTTACAACGGACACACACACACACACACACACGGCGAGAGCGCGCTGGGTGTGCAGTGGCAGTTTGCTCACGATTGTAGACTTGAGGCATCGCATTCTGCTTCGGGCCAGAAGCTGGAAACGTGTGGATCGCCGGTCAAAGACCTGAACGAGCCTCCCCTAAAGTGCATGCAGGATTAAAGTTAAGCCATTTATATACATGAATTACTTCAAAAATGCTTAACGTGAGTCCCGTTAGAATACCAAGTTTGGAAGAGAAGTTACATTTTAAAGGTTTTGTTCTTGTTGCAAAAACTCCTTAAAACGTGTAAAGCAGTTTCAGGTGAACTATTCTCAACGTATATGAATTAAGTGGCTCTCAATATGAATAATTCCCTTTACGATTAGGCAACTTTGCAGAAAGTGAACTGACGTGCTCAATTTATTGTTTGCCTAATCCAAAAATCAACTAACTCATGTATTTATGTATATTTGCTTATAAATCACTAAAACAATTAACCGATATTTCATTTGCATACCAGCTATTTGTCGATGGATTCATTTATTATTTGACTAATTGTGCAACCCCTGAACAGTAATTATTATTAATTATTATTATTATTATTATGGGCCTGCTGTTGCAGTCAAGTTAATGACAAGAAGTAAACATGAGCTGTTGCCCGTGCTATTAAATAAAAATTTACTGCAGAGAGTAGACGCAGCGGAAACTGTTGATATGGTGCTTTGTCGATTATTCAGAATATCGCTGTGGCCGTTTAATGGTTCAAATACACAGTAAGATTTAAATGCTTTGAGTGTCAAAAACATCTGAACTCGCAGAGCCACATAGATGATTCAATGGACCACAGCCTAGTGAGCAAAACCATGAAACTACTACAAGGCTAATGTACTATTGAGAGTGGTGTCACTCTGTATTTCTCCCATTCGGCAGCTCTTCTGCCCTGAGGAGTCACCATGTGCAAAAAGGAGTTTTTTCCACCTCGGCACCTTTGTGTAATTCTAGTGTGGTTCTGCTCAGCTGTTTCTCCACAACCCAAAGCCAGAGGCGACGCTGCCTTCTTTCCCTCTCCTCCAACCTCTCAGGTACAGTAACAGTTGGCTCAATATTAAGGGCACATAAAACGTTCAAACTTTACTAGATACTGTAGACATACCTTAGCTGCAACAACAACATTTGACATTTTTTCATATAACCAAAGCATATTAGATCCGTGTTGTCCAAGATACCAAGAAGGTCAAGGACCCAGGACAGACTTGGTAAACAACCACATAACATACCCATGAGCCCGCTGCTGTGGGGCCGCCATGTTGAGGCGAGACAGGCGCGCTGCTTGGTCTGGTTTATCAGCTTTGGCTTCCATGGAACAAGATGCTCAAGATATGAGTACAGGATTGGAAACATCTACAACTGACGGTTTCTCCTGTTGGTCATTGGTGCACAGCTGTAATATACCGTCTGTAAGGTGGAGAGGCCTTGTGAGTTTGTGAGGGGATTTGGAGCTTAGGGATGGAAACAGTATTGGATGTCTACAGAAAATGCTAAAATATTTTTTTGCTGTAGCCTTGCAGGGTTTGGAGCCAATATAGCAAGACATCAAAGCAATGCCATTTGATGTTAAATTCCCCACACGTATTACAATACAGCAAATTATTGAATCCCCAAACAAAGAAACACCAGTGTCTCTAAACAAAATGAAGCAACATGACATTTTCTTTTCAGTAAGGAAAAAAAACAGCAATACAAGAAGAGCTTTCTTTGACTCGCCGACGTGAGCTGCTTCATACAACAACAAGTCCTTAAATGTAAATGAGAACCTGCAATGCAGGTAATTTTGTAGACTAACTGTCAGCCTCCCCGAAGGGAAAAGAGCCACCGCCGTGTCTCTGTAATGACTTGAGAGCTAAACTCATACAGTGTCCACTTGAACAAATTATCTCCTGCTTATGTTTACCTCAAAGTCCCATTCTTGCTCTACAATACCATGAAGTCACGAGTCTTAAAACAAAAACACACTGGGAGTTTACATAAATACGCTTCATTTTTTTTTTACTTCTGGTCAGAAAACCACTAACAACAATACGCCAACAGCTCCAACGAAAGGTAAAGCTATGGATTATTCTATGTAAGCTTTACAAACAAAACTCACGTATTGTTAATTAATCAAAATCTTATTGAAATGCAAAACAAGCCAAACATAACTTCTGCCTGCAAGGTTAATCTTCATACAGTATGGCAATTTAGGTCACCAATTACATCTGCAGGTCTATCACAATTTCCCCCGGTGGGTTAAATGCCGATCAACTAATGAAGTGATAAAACTAATTAAGGTCAACATTAAAAATGTTCTAATTCATTGATTGGGTCTACAGACAAGCACTTATGAAATTAAATCGACGAGGCAGCGATGAAAAGCAAACCCATTCAACTTCAAAGTCACATGTACCCAGTTTGGCAAACCAAGAGGCATTATATATGTATCAGGTTATTATCTAATCAGGTATGAGCATACTCATCATTATACCGCCGTTTGTCCCTGTTGGGGGTGGATTATTTGATTTGCATTGGTTTGGACGTGCATGTGCCTGTTTGCAAGCCGCCTCCCCGCTGTATTATGACAGAGGCATATGTCTGCTGAGCTCTGGCCTCCTAATCACCGCACAAAGATCAGTGGAGATTGCTCTGCGAGAAGACAGCAGTCTGCTTCGGCTCTTGATTAAACTCATCTTGAGAGTAACACTGGCAGGGAAAACAGAGCGTGGATGGACTGGAATAAACCCTGCAAGTTGAGTATCGACGTCGAGCGCACAGGGAGGCTCGTCTTGTGATGCCACTCAGTCGGCATCAAGGGAACTAAGCTGCACACGGGAGCCATGGAATAATGTGGTGGGGACACCACCGGTCACCGCGAATCATCTATTTAAAGTCTCAAGTTGAAGTGTCTAAACAAGCGTGTAGGCGGATTGTC